GGGGAAGTGTTGGAAGGCTGTGCCGAGGACGGGGTGGCTTTCAGGGCGGGGGCCGGGTGGCGACGTTTTAGCGGACTGCTGTGAAGGGCAGCGGGCTGGGCTAGGTGGCCTCAGGGGTGCCATTATGGTTTTTTGGGGCACCCAATCTACAGAGGGGAAATTGAGACTCCCAGGCCCTCTGGAGGGTTTCTGTTTGGGGACCACGCAGTTCGGCGACCCCGTCTCAAGCGGACGTTGAGGCTTCTCCAGGCTGACCCCTTTTCCTTGCACTCCTCGGCAGAACCCCCCGTCCCCACCCCGATTCCACTGCTGACATCCAACCTTTGGGTTGTGCTTGGGAAAAAAAACCTGGAAAGCAGTGAGATTCGGCTTATTTGCCACTTTTGAAAACACTATATCCAAAAGGAGAAGGAACGGGAGGAAAAATCGCCGCTGCTCTTTTCACCCCTCCGTCCACCTCCCTGTCCTTTCGTTTTATTTATCTTTATTTTCCCCCTTTTTAGGGAACTGTTTCAAAAGCCGGTCGGTAGGTTGCAGAGGCGCCCATCTGCTTCGGGAGTTGGTTAGGATGGGGCAGAAGTGCGACGGAGGAGGAGACGGTGGCGGGCGCAATGGCTGCGCCCCGTTTTAAGGTGCTGCCCGTCGCCACACAGCTCTTGGCCCTCCGTGGGGAGGAGCAGGCAGATGAAAGAGCAAACCTGGGGTTAAAAGGCAGCTTGTGCGCGCGGGTGTGTGTGCAATAGAAAGAGACTCGCTGTCTCTCTGGGCACCGCGAAGAAGAAGCAGCCGTGCGTGGCGAAGGGCTTCTGACTCGCAGGAGCGTCTCTAACCAGAAGCTCAGCTGCCTCCTGCCTCTCCGACGCCAGGCTGGGCAGATCCAGGAAGGCTGGCATTCCGGGCAGCAGAGAGAGAGGAAGCCCAGCGCCTTGGCTTGCCCCCTTGCCCCCAAGCCCTCCCTGCTCCCCGCTGGCTGCAGAGGGGGAGACCCAAAATCTCAGTGCCGTAAAACCCGAAGCCTTGGAGGATTCCCCACATCAGCTGCAATCCCGTGCCCGTCTTCCAAAGCGGACGTTCCCGGCAGGAAATAAAGGAGTCGGGATAGGGGCTGCGGAGGGGTCCCCTTGATGGGGCCAAGCTCCTGTTTCTGCTCCAGGAAGACGTAGCTGCCGTTCCGAACCCGGGAGCCAACTCAGCTGCGGGCATGCAAGTGTCTTTCGCGTGTTCGGAGCACAACGTCAAGAGCCGGAGCGCCGAGGACAGGCTCAACCGGCAGAATGCCAGCAGCCCCAGCGCCCGAGGGCGGTTTCGCGCCGTGGCCATGGTGGCTCGGAGCCTGGGCCAGCTGTCCACGCAGAACGTGCCCTCCTCCAGCCAGGCAGCCACGAAGCAGCCGGGCATGAAATACAGGTAGGGAAAGCGAAGCAGCGGGGTTTGCGGTCGAGCGGGATCTGGACAATGGTGCAGGGAACCAGGGGGGTGCTCTCTTCCCCCCAATTCTTCCCCCTCTTTGCCTTTCCAAAAGCCAAAGCTTGGCAGGGACGGTTTGCATTGGAGGCAACATGGGGTGGGGGGGGGGAGGTTTTAAATCAGGCACCCTCTTGACCTGGATGGGGGCACCCTTTCTTGCGAAAAAGGAAAGAGGTTGGTTGTCCTGAAGGCTTAAGCTTGCAAAGTGGAACTCCAGGTTTTTAAAACACAGGTTTCTAGTCCTTATGGCTGATCCTCAAGTCAAGCAGTTGTAGTCGGCGCCAAATAAGAATGTTGTGGCTTGTTTTTCAGTCCTAGCCCGGAGCTGCCAGGAATGAAACATGGATCTGAATGTCTCCTCTGGGCTGAGATGGGTTGCGTATCTGGGGCTCAGTGCGTGGTGAGAACCTAGCCTTGTCTTCGCCGGGTTTTTGTTCTGCGTTGTGCGTCTAGTGGGGAAGAGTGTGTTATGCGAACACAGGCATCAGGTTTGTGAACCCAAGTTGAGGAGGTTGTACGAACCCAGCCTTAGCGTGCAAGGGTTTTCCAGTTAGAGGGATCTGGCCTGCCTGGGCCACAGCAATTCCCAGGGCCAAAATATTGGTCCGGATTTGGGGCAAACCCCAGCCAAATGCTTCCGAACAATCACACCGATCAAAATTCAAATTACTTAGCATATTGTTTCTCAATCTCAGCAGCTTTAAGAGGGACGGACTTCAATTCTGCATCACTCAGACCCCACCTGGAACGTGACCTCTGGTTTTGGGCCTGTAGGAAAGAGTTTGGCGAACGGGGGGGCGGGGGGGGGGTCCAGCGAGCGCAACCAAAACAAAAACAAGGAGGAATAGCTGGAGATGTTGAGTGGTGTATAGGCTGGAGAAGAAAAATCAAGCAAGAGACCCGGTAGCCATCTTCAAGTATCTGGAGAAGATGGGGCAGAGTTGCTCCGAGTCCTTCCAGAGTCAGCAGAAGACATGGAGGGTTTTCATTACACAGAGCCAGGTTTGGGTGGGACGTCGGGGGGAAAGCCATGATGTTACGAGCAGTTCCACAAGGGTGGAGTCTCCTTTGCTGGAGAGATTCAGGGAGGGATGATGTCATGATGGATTCCTACATCAGGAGGGTGTTGGGGTTAAAGATCCACAAGGTCCTCTTCTGGTCTGTGATCCTTTCCCACCCCAAAAGCCAAGGAGAAGATGCAAATCCAGGTGGGCTGCCATGCCACTGTTTGGACCCTGCCTCCTGCCAACCACGGCCAAAGATGTTCTGCTCCAGGGAAGCCTCCCCTGGTCTTTGGGGCTTCCCTTTGCAAACCAGTATCGCTTCTTCCCACCAGCCTTCTCCTCTCTGCTGGTGGGGCCAGGCACCCCCTCTTCCTCCAGTCTTCCATCTCTCCTGCCGCTAACGTCAGCCTCGGGCGAAAGGCGGCTGGATTCCTGGGGTGGGATTCTCCTCCTCGTCGCTTCTTTTTCCAACATTCGTTCATTTGCTTAGATGCCCATCCTCCCTTTCCTCCGGGACCTCCTGCCTCCCACTTCTCAAAACAACAGCCCTGGGAGGTAGGCCGTATCCGTGGCCTTGGCGCCGAGGCTTAGTTGAAGGGAGGATTGTGGTGGGACGGTAGTCCGCGGGGGGCCGAGCTGTGCGTTTGGTGGCACCGAACGTCACCATGATGAAGGTTGGTGAGGACTTTATACAGGTAGTGGAGCAAATAGCACTAGCAGAACATAATGAAATCATCCTTTGCCCTAATTCACCTGTAAAGTCAATTTATATAAAGGAAAAAGTGGGGATGAACCCAGCGTCTCTCCCCCCTGCCCTTCCCTTGCCCCAGCCTTATTAGCTGGTCCAGTGGCCTGGGGCCAGCCGACCTCGCAGGGTCGTGGTGGCAATGAACCTGCAGAAGGGAGGGCAGATTTCCAAAAAAGGGGGAGTATCGTAGAACATAAGGTTGGTGGGGCCCGGAGGGTCATCTAGTCCACCCCACAGCAAGGGGCAGGGGTTCCTTATTCAACCCGTCTCTTTTGCATCTTCAAAAGAAGCCCCCAGCACAGTGGACCGTCCCATCCTTCAGAGCAATAATAAATACAGGTCTACCTCGTTTTATTGCACTTCGCAGATACTGCATTTTTTTTTTTAACCAACGGAAGATTTGTGGCAACCCTGCACAGAGCAAGTTGATCTGATGGCGATTAGTATTTTTTAGCGATAAAGTATATTTTAATTAAGGCACGTGCATTTTAGAACTTGATGGAAATGGGGGGGGGAGAGTTGGGGGAACCTGGGGG